ACTGGGTGGCACGACGCTCTGATGCGACCTTACGACGGCCGACTGAATTTCAAACATGTTTGATTTTCTCGCGACCTTACGATTCCTGATTAGGAGGTAGTCGTGAGTGGCTGATCGCCCTTGGTCACCCCCTGTATACTACACAACGCACGATGAGACTAAAATTCAGCCTGATCGAAAAATTCTCACATGACTGGATAAGGCTAAAGGATAAGGCCCCGAAAAGGCTAAAATAACTGGATAAGACTGGATAAGGCCCTGAAAAGGCTAAAAAATCGCACAGCTTTAAGCTCTTCTTGTCATGATGGATTTAAGAGACTTAACCCACATGCAGAACACCACAGGAAACAGAGTAAAAGTTTAACAGTTTATTATAAGATGCACACAAGATAATTAATGAGCAGATTCTGGTACTGGTCCGGGACTGGAATCACAGAGTATCTGCAGAGATGGATAGTTTGGTTAGCCAGGAAGCTGTGATGACTTGTCCGGGGTTTGATTCTGGTTTGTACCTTGATGAGGTTCAGACTGATCGATGGAGAGGGGGAACCGGTTGGGTCCAGAGAACGTGGGTTCAGCAGAGAGCTCAGCAGCAGCAGCGTCTAGCTTCAGGCTAATGAGGTTCAGACCTTGAGTTGAAGACCTAGCTCTCCTTTGAGAGCTGGCTGGGGAATTCAGACTGATTGTCTTCAGGTTTGGCTTCCTGGGGCAGGCAGGCAGGTTTCCAAGCAAAGCTCCTCCAGAGCTACAGACTTCAGTCAGGCTTTCCTGTGAGCAGAGAAGACAGAGGCTGGTTAGAATCTAGTTACTCTCTAGAGCAGACAGAGATTCTCAAGGTAACAGAGGCTCAGGTTCAGCTAACCAAAACTGGTCAACACTCCGGCGCCGAAGACAGGTCTGGCTGCTGCTTATGTAGGAGGTCTCCTGATGGGCTGATGATCCTCAGGTGTGCTGGAGGCTCCCAGCCCGGGAGACCCACAGCGCTCTATGCTGGAGACAGATGGCAGATCTCCAGATCCCAACACTTCTCTCCTCAGATCCCCTTAAAGGTTTTCTATATGGTTTAGTTCTGCAAATGGTAAAGATTTGAGTGAGGACATGTGAGTGCCATGAATCTGCTATTATCTCACTGGACCAAAAGTCTGGTTCAGGTAAGGTTGAAGAAAAGGCTAGCAAAGCCCACAAATTTACATTTGAAAGAGTTTATAGCATAAAAGGTCTTTTCCTGGAAGGTCATCCAAAGTAAATGGTTGGCTTAAGTCGGGCGTACACTATGCGATTTTTTTTCAATCATTGCACGCAGCTGCTGCTCACACTGTACGACTAAAAACCTAGTCGGACTCAGCTCCACAGTGAGATGGAGCTGCTCTGATTCGTCTATCCGGAAGCCAAACAAATGGAAGGGGAATATGAAGCTCACTAGAGGGAAACGCGCTGAAAGCCCTAAAAAAGAAAAGGCGACAACGTATTTGGAAAAAAGACATGGCTGAGCAAACGTGGCTACTACAGTTATGTCAATTTTACAGACAGAACTGCATTTCACTCATTGGATCCCTGCCATGCTGCTGTGTTTACATCTGAGAGGAAGAAGAAAAAGAAGAATCCTTGTTTGCGCATGCGCCCTGAGCGGTTTGCCATGATGGTCCTCAATATTCCTGATCGGAAGGTGGTTGTGAGAGGCTGACCGCCCCTTATAACCCCCTGTACACTACACGACTCACAGGCTGAAAGTCGGCCCAATCGAAAGATTCTGGCACGACTGGAAAATCGTCCCGAAAATCGCACAGTGTATGCCGGGCTTTAGCCAGCCTCTGACATTCTTTGCCACAAATACCTGACAGAAAGTTTTGAAGATTCTTTTTTTAACTCTCCTTCCTTTCTCCTGGTTGTGTTTGACTTTACATTGACTTCAGTCCTCGTCCAACCTTGTTTGTTACACTTGGTGTTGTTTTCATTATTGCTTAGCTGCCGATATAAGCATTTGCCACATTGGATTGGGATGATTTTCTGGCTTTCTCATTCTAAAAAGAAAGTGACCAAGTTGCACCTACCTTTGTTTTAGATTTGTATCAATATGCGTTTGTATTGTCCCAACATTTGTTGTTATTTAGAGTTGTTTTTCAATAGGGATGACCTCCGCTCATCTCCCGATGCACCCTGGGATGGGATGTATATAATCTCATCAGACTCTTTGACTTTTTTCTATTACTCTATAGTTCAATCTTTATGCTCATCAGCAAATTATTTTTTGTGATCATTCTCACTGATTGGTGGTTTTATTAAGACTAAACAGTTCAACTCCTTAAGTTCAATTCACATTGGAGGAAATGTTCTTAGTTTCATGATTAGTACATTGTCTTAGCAAGCTTTTTTGCTCAGTGTACCAACTGTTCACCCAGACATCATGAGGCTTTTCTAATGTGACTCAGAAAGAATGGCCAGAGTAAAAGCTATAAATCCATCTTAATCCCTAAAATAGTCACTAGTCACCTTACTGTATTCCTTTATTATTTAGGGGTTAATGGGTATCTCTTTCAAATGACACTTTCTCACGCTACATGGCAATTTGATATTATCATGTGCAGCCTTTTTTAATTATTCTGCTCAAGACAAAGTTGATTTTAAAAAGCTGGATTTAACGAGCACGATTAACTTTCAAAAAGGTTAAGAACAGTACATCTGATCATGCCAAACAAAGGTCTTCTTTGTGGACCTTTACGTATATCAGAAAATGCAGACTTCTCTATTTTTTCTTCTAAAACATCCCTTCTGTTCATCTATCCTCGTCTGAACTGTTCTCCATCTTGTCATCACGACTGTGATGACAAGATGACAAGATCACGACTCTACTGTCATTCTACTGTCAGTCACTGAACCGACAACAATTTCCGATCAATCATTACATTTAGCAGCTAGAGAGTTCTTTAAGGATGCTCCTTTTGCCAGTTCTCTTAGGAAAAAGTTGGATACCATTTTCATTCGGAGGCAATAGGATGAAAAGATCAGACGTTTGTGAATCATATCTCCTCTGCAATATCCAATGACGCTTAGTTGACTCATTTACAGTCTAAATACGGGCGTGATGACTGTGGGATAGATTCATCATTGGCTGCAAACAATTTGGTTTGTGGAACCTTTGATAAAGTTTGTATATAATGTGGTTCAGTCTGCAAGATGGTTTAGTGTATGTGCTTTATGAGTGGTGTAGTCTCCATATCCTGTCCATTTCATTGTAAACAGAAGATGGTACAAACAGTGCCAGAGGTAGGCTCTGTTATCATTTGGGCCTAAAATAAAATGTCCAGTTAGATTATTCGGGGTTTCTAGAGGCTACTAAAAGGTAGTGACCTAAATAAACTCAGATGAAGGCCATTGAAAGGTTTCTTATTTGTTTGACAATTTTATGTTAACTGGACTTTTTAGTTTATTATTAGCAGATCTTTCCTACACCAACTTTAGCACTCAGAGCTGAGGTTCTGTAGTGCCTTAAACTGCAGCCAAATTATGGCATCAGGGTTCTCCTCCAAAACCTGTTCAGACATGAAACATAGCCAAACATTTTGCATGCATGAAGTCTTATTCAGGACATATGCTTGATTTTATATTGGTAGTAAAGAATATTCTAGAGGTAATAAAAGGTAGTGTTGTGCAATTTTACCAGCAGGTTATCAATATATTAAATATCTAGGAAAGGAAGTCCCAGTTTGTTAATTGCTCATTAAATAAAAGGTAAATCCAGGTAATGATCATTATTTAAATGATTATTATTGAAATCTGCTTACTCACCTAAATTCTTTAGTCTTTTACCCAAGGTTGGCCATACTCATTCACACACAGGCTTCATAAAGTCAACATTCAGTTAAGAACACTTTGATATAAAACCATCAACATTTGAAATTAAGGAGCTCCTTTCCTTTTAGTCCAACAGGCACTCGAAGACACCTGAATTAGTCTGATGCAACAACAGAGGGAACGATGCTGGGCTTTAAATTGGTTTGATCACTTACAGTGGTTCGGGACATCTCTAACAGGCAGCAGCTGTAATCAGGTGCTAAAATCCAATCGTCGTAGCGGCCAAATGTGCAAGAGGACGATTTGGCAGTCCAAGCAGCTGAATGTGGCAGGTAGTGGAGCCAGGATTCAGAGGCAGCATTAAGGAGGGAAGGTTCTTATCTGCCTCAGGGCAGGCTGGATTTTGATGAAACGCTACAATCAACTTCTGGTTTGATCATAGGCAGAGGGAAAAGCAGTCTGTTTTCGCCAGCAAACACAGACACTCTGGAGGATAGGGACACATGACATGGTTTCAGATGAAAAGGTTGTCTCTAACCTTTTGGAACAGAGTCCTGGGCAAAAGAGGACAGGAAATGTGAATTGTTCGAAATGTGGTTTTAGAGGGACATGACGTAATAGGGCAGTTGGTTCGCTTACGTGGTGGGCTCGCTTATAGACATACAGAAGTAAACTCAACACTGAGAATACTACAATAACCGTTTTATTGCTTTTAGCAGGATAAGGGGCTTCATAGTGTTAGTTGGTTGGCATTGTCATCTTGCAGCAAGATGAGGTCTTTATGTTCTCCCTGTCTGGGTGTGAGTTCTCACTGGGTACTCAGTCCTCTTCCCACTGCCCAAAACCATAAATAGATTAATTGGTCTCTGTTAATGGCTCCAGGTATGCGTGTGTGTGCATTTTTGTCCCTGCTGTGTGTCCTTTTATTGTCTTTAAGGATATCCAGCTGTAGACGATGGGTGATTGGTTCCATTTATTTTCATACGTGTTGGCAAACTAGGATGTATCAACAAAATAAGAAAGATGTGGTAGCTATGTGTGCTAGTCCAACACTTATTTGCATTTAGGACTAGAAAGACTCCAATGTGACTGCGTGCACAGATGTCTGCATCTGAAGAATGATCATATCCTGATGTTCAGAAACTGATATTGCTTACTTAAATACTCTTGCAGCTTGAGAGTAACATGGCATTTTTGTCTCTTTCCAGGAGGATTATGACCGCCTGAGACCTTTGTCCTACCCCATGACCGATGTCTTCCTCATCTGCTTCTCAGTTGTCAACCCGGCCAGTTTCCAAAATGTGCGAGAGGAGTGGGTGCCGGAGCTGCAAGAGTATGCACCCAGTGTTCCTTACCTGCTCATTGGCACACAGGTCAGTGTTTATTGAAAAATAAAACTCACCTCATGATTGGAAGAGTTTCACTACCTCCACAGTTTGACTGAAGACTTTATCTAAAAGGGGGTATGAGTGAATGATTTGTTACTCAATCGTTTCTCCATATTTTCTATGCAAACTTAGTGATTACAGCTGCAAGGAGACAATTAATGATGACTAATTCATCTTAGACAAGGAAATCAATGATAACAGTGCTTCTTTTTTTCTTGTATACAGTATAGTTAGCTTGTCGAAGGGCTGCCTGAAAAATGTTACTTTTCCTTCAGGGCCGGGCCTATGTGCAATTTGGAGGTGTGTGGGCCCTATTTTAGCAGACGCCCTGTGGATACTGATCTCTTGCTCCAAGGGGCTTTGCATCTCAAATTAAGTAGCTTCCGAGCAGTTATAGATAGGTGATCTTTTTTTTAAAATATTTTTTATATTTATTTTATTATATTTATAATTAATTACCAAATTAATTAAATGCAATTTAGGTTATTTATATAGTGCCAATTCACCACACATGTCATCTCAAGGCACTTTACAAATCAACCAGATCATACAGTCAAATTGATTCAAAGTTTTCTATCTAAGGAAAACCAGCTGATTGCATTTGCCGAGGCTGACTGGAGTTCGAGGAGACAGAAGCTGAGATACAATAAGAAATTGAGATACAAAAGGCAACTATCAACCAGTTCCACTGGTGGCCTTGTCCAGGAAACACACAGCCAGGCAGACCAGCTCCGAGCCAGCTCTTATGTCAGAGGATGAAAGAGAATAAATACAGTTAGTAACAGTCAGAGAAACAGGACTACACTAAAAAAAAAAAAAAAACAGTCCAAGCTCCAACATCTATAAAGAAAGGTGTTGATGGCAGCGGCACAGTTGATATTTCTCTCCAGGATGGTGTCACAGCCAAACAGGAACAGAGCAGATGAAGCTAATATGAGAAAAAGACTTAGACAAACTTTATTGCTATTTTGTACAAACAGGGCATTTACAAAATGAAATTTCGTTCAGTACAGCTCTCAAGAAAAGCAGAGAGAGCATAACATTAGAGAGTGTACTAACAAATTCTGTTAAATGGGAGAATAGCGATAGAATGAGGAAAAGGGGTCCTTATGTCCTCCAGCAGTCTAAGCCTATAGCAGCATAACTATAGAGATGACTCAGGACGATAAGCTTTAGTAAGCTATAAGCTTTATCAAAAAGGAAAGTTTTAAGACCTACCCTTAAAGCAGACAGGGTGTCTGCCTCATGGACTAACACTGATTCAATAGAGCTATGGCTCTGGGTGAGTTTGGCAACTGTATTAAAAAATATCTAGGATTATTCTTATTCTCCTCTATTAATAAGGAGAAAGATGCTGCTCTTGCTTTACAAAGGTTCATCTTATACAACAGTAACAGTTTTTCCAGAATATGTAGGATTCCTGTAGGCATGTTAGAGCCCTATTTTCTCTCCAGTTTCCTAGCATTTTGCTTCAGAGTGCACAGCTTTTTCAAAGGGACTGCATTTTCTAAGGCAGTATGCTGGTAACTAGCAACCCCAACCCCAAAATCATCAACTTGTGAACGGGACTAAACTAAACTTTTGCCCTCAGCAGCACTGCTCAGCAACACAGAGGAGAGAGAAAGTGAAACAGGTTATATAAAATGTGTAAATGCATTATCTGATAATTATCTGCTAGTGTTATTTAAAGGGATATTTAACACTTTAAATAACACTTAAATAAAACAGTTACAGCTAAGATCTCTCAAATGGGACTTAAAATTTAACATGATCTAGTCCAAGTTTAGTAGAGAAAGAATACATCATTTTACAGCCCTGGGCTCATGTCAGCCTGGATTAAAAAAAAAAGTATTTTTATTAAAAAGATGAGGATTATATTTACTTTCTATGCCTTGTTTTGGTTTCAATGTTTTTGCATTTGTGTTTTTTTTTAGTAACTGTCCTCTTGAGTTCAGAATCTACTCTCACGAGCACAGCTGGGTTTTCTCAGTCCTTCATAGCAAAGTCAAACTTAAAATTTCTGTACATTTTAATGTTTTCTCTATGCTATCTCATTAATTTTACTATTTTCTATTTGCATCCTTTATTTATTTTGTCATCACCTTTTTTTCTTATGCAAAAATGTCCTTGTCTGTAAAACATTCTTTAAAGAATTAATTGATTGATTGATTAATCAATTGCTTAATTTGCATGAATATTTAATGTGTACATTAACAGTGCTTGGTCTAGAACTACAGATTACACAGTGAATGCAGTTTATTCTTAAAACGTACTTAAAGATCTCTTATAGCTGTTAAATGATGTGTCGGTCAATGTTCCCTGGCAACTAAATGCCATTGTACCCCAAAGCGGTGATGAACAGGATGGAGTGGGTGTTTGATTTATCTGGTGTCAGCTGACGTGTTGTGCTTTCTTATCAAACCCCATCAGAACTCAGTCACTGCTCTGTGGCTGGCTGCCACAGTGTACTACACTGACTCAAAAATGAAGAAAGAAAAAAATGAGCTCAAGGAGATTTAGGTTTTAATAGCAATTTAGTTGCTGGATGTTATTGCTTTTTAAAAGGCAATAAAGAGGTCTGGAGTGCAGTGTAATTCGCAGTGAGGAACCAGGATGTTGCCTTTGAAATAGTGTTGCACAAAAGCAGGAAGTGAAGATTAACTTGATCTGGTTTAAAATTTAGAAAATCCACTTTGCAGAGTTTAGCTGTTTGACAGGGCAAGAAAGCGTCAACCCCCCCCAACATGGCCTAATTATGGTCCTTTTAATTATTCTCAATTTGACCTAATCAAGCTGTCCAAATCAGGTTAAAGAGTCAAATATTTTAATTTCCATTGAAGGATCTCTGTTACACATCTGCAGAAGCAAAGTCAGGTATTTTCTATTAGAATTTCCCAGGACTACTTTTTCAAAGCAAAGAAAATTACACGTCTCTAAAGATTATAGGCCAGATCTTCTAAAGGTTTTATGTCCTAAAACAAATGCAAACTTGTTTGCACATGATGAGTAGATCTTCAAAGCAACACTGTAACTTTTAGCCACTAGAAGTTCTAGACCTTTTACTTCTAGCTTGAGAAGGGTTAACGCTTGGGTCATAAAATACTGTTGCTTTAACAAAAAAGAAAGACTTGGACATGCAGTTCAACAAGCAGTGCATGCAAATTTATCTTTTGTGTGCCTTCATCCCTATGCAGATTGTGCATATATTTAGGACATAAAAATTTTAACATTTACAATGTGCAAAACAATTTTTTTTTTTAATCTAAAACTGAGTCTACAATTTTTTGCCTTTGTAGCACTTTTGATATGTCAGATGAAAGTAACACACTGGTTTCTGAAGTCATTTTAGTCACAAATGAGGCACTAGTACAGTTTTGCAGTTATTGGGTCTAATACTCTAAAGAGTTGGTGGATGTAAATGCATCTGTTTGTGATCTGCTATAAATCTGACTGTGGATCCTTCTTTGTTCTTTACAAGTTTTATAACCATTTTATCTTTCATATTTAACATTGACTTTAGCATTTTTGCAGAATTTCGTTATTTTACATGCAGTCTGCTCATTTAAATACGGTGAAACACAACCCCTTAGATGATTTGTGCAGTCAGTCTTTGTAGATCACCCATCAAACACTGCCGCCTATTGCACTTGCAATTTAACTCTCCTACTTTGTCTTCAAAGATCATACTCTTACAGGGGTTGAATCAAGAATTAACCAATTAGATGCACAGAAGACAGAGACAATTGTATCTGCTATATTAACATTTATCTATTTTCAAATGTTGGTGTCTCATGAGCTAAAGAGTAGACATAATGAACTGGTTCAAATGTTCTCTTTTCTGAGATGGGTACCCACTCCTTGGGAAATTACTCCCACTCCCATCCCGCTCCCATTCAGAATGACTCCCGCTCCTGCACCACTCCCATTCTTGTTTTGTTTTTTTTTGAGCGCGGGTGAAAACTCAGAGCGAAAGCACTGTTGGTTTTTGGGTCGTGTAGTTTTTTTGACTCGCATTATAGTTTAGGCTTCAAGGAAAAAAACTACAAAATGGCGGCACCTTCTGCCACAAAAACAATACCCCCTAGATAAACGACCAATCATATTCACTTGTGTAAAGTCATGCACCACTCGGGAGAATTCGGAACTGCAACAGTTGGAACAGCCGCTTCCTTTATATAAACTGGTATCAAACTCAATTAGAAATGTTACTTTTTTTGGTATTGATGTACTTGAACAAGATCTGCTATTTTCCAGATTGACCTTCGCGATGACCCAAAGACCATCGCAAAACTGAACGACTTGAAGGAGAAGCCAATTGCCACTGAGCAAGGACAGAAACTGGCCAAGGAGGTTTGTATAATCAAACAGAGCAGAGGAAAGCAGCTGAAGGAGAACTCTGGGAATCAAGCTGATTGGCTCTTTTAAATTCCTTTGTCCTGATTTAATGCCAGAATTTAACAATATGAATGTGATCATTTTATGTGAGATAAATGCAATAGGATCTTGTCAGCAGGAAAGTATGAACTAAAGCTCTAAAAAAGTCTATGCAGATTTGTCAAACTACTGTGCAATTTAAACAGTAATCATATTTTAGAAAGTCATTAGGTTCCCATGTTCAGAGTTTAATATATCTGGACATAAAAAAACATTATCTGCTCCTCCCCAGCTTATAGAAATGTTTTAATGTACCCTCAAGTGGAAATGTCGAACACCTCCTGTGTGAACTTCCAACATTGATTGTAAACATGTAGGTTAGTAGTGTGGCTCTTAAAGTGTAAAGGATCAAATTCAGAAATGATCAAGTTTCCTTTAAAACTAGGCAATTTACACATGCGATTTACTTTCTCCAGTGCATATCACCCTCAAAGTGACAAAACTTAAGATAGATAAAAGAAACTGTTCCCACATGGGGGTTGGAAGGAGGAACGAGTTTGGAGAACAAACCATGAGCGAGCAGAGGAGCATGCAGTCATTCATGGTACATATGCACCATGATGTATGTGTGAAGATTCGCTTACATAGTGTAGTTTAAAACTGCTTAAATTAATATTTACTGCACCTTTTGGCTGAATTCTGCCTTCATACTTGCTGTAGAAAAGAGTGCTTTGCCTGTTAATTTAACCCTCATATATTATAAAGTAGGAATATTTAGGTTAATATAGTCAGTTTTTTCTGTGTGTAATTTTGTTTTTTGTATTAGATTGGAGCTTGTTGCTATGTGGAGTGTTCAGCACTGACCCAGAAGGGCCTGAAGACGGTGTTTGACGAGGCCATCATTGCCATTTTGGCTCCAAAGAGAAAAAAAGGATCCTTGAAGAGAAGACTGGGACCCCGCTGCATCAACTGCTGCCTGATAACGTGATGCGGCGGCCCTGTGACCTTTAGGGAAAAGAACGCAAACCAAACATGGACTGAAGACAAAAGACAGGCTAAGGAAAAATGCTAAGACAAAAACAAGGAGGGTTGATGGACAAAACAAGAACTACGTGATTCTAAGATTCATGACCCTGGAATAAAAAAAAATGTCTCCTGTGCTGTTTTTACCAAAGGAGCTCAAAGCCCTGTCAGTCTCTTCTTCTACAAGACTTTTGCCTCAAAAGTACCTTCTTTTATAACCATTTAAATCATGTTTTTGTTTGTTAATGTCAATATATGCTATTATAAGCAACAGGAAAGACAAATGACATTTCAACTATAAGATCAATCTTTATTCATAAATATATCTATTGTTTTTAACAAGGAGTTTTTAATAATATGTTTATATTCCAAAACGATGAAAGAAAATGAGTATGAAGTAATGAAAGTGTCCTGGGAGAACTGGTGTGTTCAAATTTTTTGTTTTAAACCCAGCTTTACATGTTGAATTTTAAAAAGTGCTACATATTTGGACCTACAGATTAAACCACTGATAGTACAGCGCTTTTCAAAGATGTTATTTCTAAGATTTCTGGTAATGATGATGATTGTTCTGAAGCAGGATATGCTAAAATACTCCAAGGTAGGAAGAGACTGAGGAGTTAACAAGAAAATAAAAAGCTTTATTATTCATTTTTAGAATCTATAACGACCAGTTTATGAGATTGTATCAGTAAATCAAATATCACTGAGATCATATTTATCAGCTTAAGAATTACTTTTTGTTATTGTGTAGTAAAAAGCTATGTTTTTAGCTATTTTAAAGGAGAACATGAGGATTAACTTGATTTAAGAATTTAATCTTGTTTTTCTCTCAAAGAAACCAATGCACACTTGTCGTTAGAGGGCATATATCATCATTTTTTACTATATTTTCTGTTAAACTTCTTTTTTTGTCTCTTTTTTTTTCATTTTTAATACTTTTTCATATTACATATTTCTCCTTTAAGAGTAAAAAACAAAAAACAAAAGCTAGCACAGAGCAGGGGAAAGTTGTTGAAGAGTAATGGTGTGACATTTAAATGTTAGAACTCGGACATAGCTGCAAAATACTATGTCCAAACATGACAATATTCATGATTGCAAATTCAGCTCTAATTTTGAGTTTATCAAGTAAGGATATGTATGATAAACCATCTAGACAGGAGGGGAATTTCAGGGAAATTAGATTCTGAGACATTTATCTTTAAAACTTAGCAAACTGGCACCCTTCCCAGGGATTTAAAAGAGCTCACCCTTACACTTAATCTGCATATAATTTAAGTGGCAAATTACCACTTGTGATTGTAAATCTCATTCATAACAAATGTTTGTTCTGAAGTTCTGCTCTGCTTCTGTCTTTCATGGTAACTAAACACAAACTTGCATCAGTAAATATCTCCAAACAGCTGTGTGAGACTGGTTGGAAAAGTCTCACTTTTCTCCTTATGCCATGTATGGCTATTGGCCTGTCTGCCATTTGTTTCCATTGATGTATTAGTAGCCCTTGGAAATCACTTTAAAATAGTATTACACTAGTGAATGATGAGAGAGAAGCTAAAAATATGGATAAATAATTGGACTAAGGCTGTATTGAAACATTTTTGTCTTTCTGACTAAGACAAGGAGGAAATATAACAACTCAAACACTTTTATTGTGGCTAAGCTTGCAGGATTATTTGCAGAAAGCTTCTTGAATTTAGTGGGGGCATTAGTACGAAGAAAAATAAAGGCCAAGGCAAAAGATGGTATCTTTTTTTCTCCACAACTATGCTTAATTTTAATGGTCTGGCTGTTTACTCCCTTCTTAAGCTAGCTTTCCTAGCTGTGCGCCTGACCTGTGTAGTGTCCCCAAAATCCAATGTTTAAATTATTTTATAAGCACAGAGCAAAAAGTGTTTTTGTAGGTGAGCCAATCTGTTCCCCAGATTTACTTCTACGGAGCTCATCTGTTTACGGCATAGAGGACGCTAAATGCTACTTCCTCTCTATGGTAGTGCCTTCCAGTTTTAGTTAGCCTTTCTCAAAAGCTTCTTTTTGTTTTGCAAAAGTGTGTTTTGAAATTTTGTTTATAATGTTTGAGACCATCACCATTTGTAGGGTTTTTTTGGCTCTAAGATATGATGACATATGCCTTCTAGAAAACTGGCTAAAATAACCCAATACTGTAAAAGCTCTGCACAACAATGCAGCACAGCTGCTGCAGATCCATTTTGTTAGCACAACAATGCATGTTTCCTAAATTTCCAACACCCCCTCTGTTCCGGGAAACAGCTGTCTGAAGCACACAAGATGCACATGGTTCTGTCAGGCACAGCAGGCATAGCACAACATCTGGCATGAACAATCAGAAGTACATCATGCTAGAACCCTGAAGCAGGGTTCTATTGTAGCTCTCCAAGGTCACCATTATGGAAATAATAGTAAGAACACCGATCTAAATGGATGTGTAAAATAAAGTCAAATGTGGTTTCCTTAAAAGCTGATACATTAAACTTCTACACTTCTAAAACCTCTATTATAAACAAAAGCTAAAAATTGCTCAGTTAGCTTCCTCCGCAAACATCAAGTCTTTGCGGGTATTCCTCTAAATATTTACATCAGTTAGTTGTATTTTACTTCTGCCTTTTATAAGTTACCTTAACTTACATCTAATGTCAGCTGTGTTGGCCCCTAAATGCAACCAGACTAGTTAAGTAATGCCAGCTCAGCATGATTTACTATTTACTAATTTAATATGTAGCTGAAAAGTGATGCTGCCAAACCATTCTAAATCAGTTAGCAGTAAATAACTTTTTTGTTTTTTGAAAACTGAGTGTTGTTTGGTTTTTTGCAATCAAATGGAACAAAGGGTTTATGTACACCAATGACACTGGTTGAGGCCTGTTTCAAACTCAAATAGAGGTTGAACCTTGATCCATCCACTGGGTTCTGCTTTTCCAACTATGGCTCATGGTGGCCCATAAATATGTGTTTAGACAATGTCATTCTGGGGGTTCCCACGCATTTTAGGGCCAAAAGTGATGTTTCGTCTCTACAGCCTCTCTGAATTCCTGTTACGTGCTTTCAGGAAGCATTGGAATTTGCTGTAATATGATTTGAAGAAGATTTAGCCATGCTATTTCCTTACCGAGGGTAGAACCTGATGTTCATGCAAATACATTTGGTTAGCTGAAATTATTTTGTTTGAAACAGCTGCAGTGCACATTGGCTCATTGCATTGCTCTGGCCCCAAGAAAAAGGATATCATCGAAGCAGCTAAAACAAACAGTCCATCCCGTCCTCCCTTGCACTTGGCTGGGGTAGTTATTTGGTGCCTTTACAATTAAAACTTAAAGATGACTGCCGAAATGTAAAAAGAAATAAAACTTTTCCACTGTAAATACAGATATGGACTGGCATGTCAGATAGAAGAACAGAGAAAACCAAGGGTTTAAAGTGGGGGGGGAAGCTGATTTATCAGTAGCTATAAATATAATATTGAAATGTTACTAAAACACAGAGGAAGTGCAACATATCTCTATTTGATCTGAAAAAAGAAATGATTTGAGAAGAAGAGAAGTAATCCATTTTCTTTTTCCAGGTGTTTTACTACTGTCTGATTTTATTAGTACAATAGTAAGTCACTAGGTTATAATAGTAATCAGAAACTAATGCTTTAAATAACAAAGTGGTGCTAATCAATTTATTATGGTTAATTCAGCAGAGTTTATACTCAAAATGTGAACCTTTGTAGGATTTAGAAGTGTTTCTGAGGAGCTGTAGCGAAAACTCTCAAGTTGTAATTTTAACTTTCTTTTGGGGGGTGGGGGGGGTTGGCCAGCCAAATACAAAAACGATGTGTCGCTTTTATTCAATATGCATTTTATTTTTTCTAGCGTTTTCAAAGACAATACTCGAAGGTGCCAATTTTTACTGTTAATTTGTTTGTTATGATTAAGTAAAGCTTTAATGTTGAAGGTGCTTCTTCTCTCTTTCCTAGCCTGTGTTGTGTAACTGTCCTTTCTACAACGCATCACTGCAAGGTGATTGGCCCAGGCTCTCGGACAGTTGTGCTTGCTTATGTCATATGAAGGTCCAACCTCTCCTCCTCAGGATCAAGGACCTAAGTGCCGCAGCCAACAATGCATTCTCCCATTGATGCTACTCTTTTCTCAATAAACATGTTTCCTGTGTTGACAAACCACCTTTTTGCTGCTTTTCATGAGGATAATGACAGATCTGCTGCAAACAAGGCTAAAGAATCTATCTAGTCCATTTAAAAAGTACACAGTGAAATGTTTTCCTGCAGTCAGAAAGCCCTTTGTTAAAACACAAACCATGGCATTCATAAAATAAATAACATGTTCTTTAGGTGCATGCATTAATTTTAATCTACAGTCCAAAGTAATGTAAGTTTTGTTACTTTACCGCTTTATTTATCGAATATGAACGATCTGAGCAGGCTTCAACCTACATCTCACAAGCTGACTGCTGAAGTTGAACACTAGCCTGATGTATGAATCTTAAGTATATTTCCATGAAAATTTTATGTAAGTCAATGATATGCTGTCAATATTTTGAGTTGGAGCATGAACAATTAATGCAACTTTTGTCATCCCTGAAAGTGACCAGCTGGCCCTTTTCATTACCTTATATAATTCTTGCATGTAGTATCTGCCTCAAACTCTGGACACCTCCTACATTGTTTTGAAAGGATGATAGTGGTAGAGCAAACATATTACCTCATGCACATGACATTTTTATGTGCTTGGGACATCTTTCCAACCCACAGACTTGGGCTTCACACTTTTTTAGAATTTATAAAGACCATATCGGTTGCTTGGTTGAGCTAAATATTAGTGATATGATCTGTTCACTGTTCCTTTTTTTGTAGGGTCTCTGAAATAACTTAACAGCTGAACTTAAATCAGGGTAATAATACCCTAACAGGTGGATTTTATAAGATAGAGCTCCGTTGATGGAGTTGACTTGGAGTGTAATTACTTTGACCTCAATTCTCTCATGTGTCATGTTAAAGTATCTGTGGTTAAAAAAAACTTTGGACACTTCATTCCTACAAGTAGAATGCAGAAGTAGGAGCTTATTTTGGTTGGTTAAAAAGCAGCAGAGAAAATATAAAGATAGTTTTCATCTTTTGCACTTGACAAATTTAAAAGGCAGTAAGGTCATCAGTAGATCCACTGATTGACTTGTGTTTCCAAACTTAGTCTCAACGCATTTTTATGCAGGTTTATGGTCAGAATATTTTCATCCATAAGTGTTCAAATTAAGTAATTTTCATGAAACACTTATTTTTTTAGATTTCTGGGTTTTTTAAGGTGTAAGATATCTTATTTACTTATGGTAAATAAAAAAGGTATGATAAAGTTATGAACTGAGGGTAAGATATTGCTATAAAGAGGCAATTCACACTTGAAAATCTCAATTGGGAGGAATTTAAAATCAATTCTGTGGGCCAGAATTCCTCCGGATAAAAAGGCTATTGAGCCAAAGTGAACTGCAAACCTTTATGGGTTTTCATTATTTCATTTATCTGCCACAAAATCTACCTGTAAATTTCACCTAGATTTATATGCAGTTAATAAGTTGCCATGATGAATTTACCACTTGTTTACGTTCAGAATAAGGGTTTAGTTTGTTTACAACCCAGAGCCACAAGATGGCGACAGCACCTTTGTTACAAAGGAAAAGACCCCTAGAAGTTCTGCAGCAACTTCTTTGATTTCCATTTAAAGCATTTCTTTCAAAAAAGGGTATTTGTAAAAGATAGGAGATTTTTTTGGCCTAAATTTGATTCATTTTGAATAAATCTATAGACACAAATAATATGAACAAATAGCTTGTTTGTCCAAGTTCTAAAAGAAAAAAGGAGAAACTTTTTAATCCTTCCCTTATACGCTGGATTCATAACCTGCCTGGATTCATAACCTGCCATGTACTGAACATATAGACTAACATCTCCCAGTGCACCATATAGCTATGTATTTGCATAAAGATTTACTCTTTGTTTTAGTTTTATAAGTTTATATAGATTTACAAAAATATTTGGCTCTAATATAGAAGTTCTGCTTACTGCATATAAAATAACTGGAATAAAAAGGACTTTTACTGTTACTACTTTGTTACTACTTACTGTTACTGTTACTACTTACTTTTACTGTTTTTACTTTTATTTTTAAACCCTCCATTTTTAATGCACAAATGTGCTCCACACAAAATCTGCATTACATAAGGATTAATTACCTGTCAAAAGGCTTTTACTTTTTGTTTAAAATGAGAAATATTATATGACTTTGTAAATAAAATAGGCTATTAGAGCTACAGACCCTCCCCTATCCATAACAACAAGGACGAATTGTCCTTTTAATTCTGCATCAATTCTTTGTTTGACATCAGACCCATCTGGAGTGTTTATTGGCAAAGAGCTTAGCCTGACTCATGTGACTAAAGCAACTATTTCCAACTAGGGAGCTTGTAAAGTTTGGCAAACTTTGCGTGTTAATGGTTTAAAAGTTTAAGGTGGCTTTTACGACTGGCTGGTATGTAGGTTTAATAGAGCAAGTGTGACTACAGGATGCCATTCTTTGGTATAGTTCTCTAAAACTTTTGTTGACTTCCTTGACAACCTTATTGTTCAGTGTAACAGCTAAATAAACTTCACACCTTGTCGATCATATCAGTTTATTTATGTAGCACCAAATCACAACACATGTCATATTAAGCCATGCGTAGGCCTATTTACAGTTTGTGGCAAGCCCCATAGAGTAAAAGCTGATATTGAAGGTCTCTCTGGTCAGATGAAACCAAAGGGAAACATTGAAGTAGCCTAAAACACAGTAACTTGAGAATTAAAAATAATGGCGCTAGCATCATGCTGTGCAGACGTGTTTCTATAACAGGGAACAGGGAAGCTGATCAAAATTTATGGAAGATGAATGGAGATAAATACATAGTATTCCTGGAAGGAAGCGTCTTTGAGGTTGCAGTGGGCTTAAGACTGGGTTGGAGGTTCATCATCTAGCCAGAGCATTACCCAGTCACAGTCGAGACATAAATCCCATTAAAAATCTGTGCCAAAATCTAAACATATGAGACCTTCAGATGCCACCTATGCAGTCTGAACTGACAGAAATCCAAGTATTTGAATGTGCAAAGCTGGTAGAGACAAATGCTTGAAGATTTAGAGCTGCAAACTCCAAAAAAGGTGGTTTTATAGAGCATTGACTTCGTGAATAGTTTGAAAGCTGTGTATTTTGTGCCTTATATATCACATAGAATCACAACCAGTACTGAGGTATTTCTATATCTGAATTGTTCGCAGGTTGTGTTTGAAAATGAACAGATCCTAACCCCATCATTAGAAAAGCAAATATTGCCCAAAGAGTAGTTTTAAAGTACCGTAAGAAAGCATTAAGAAGCAGCCTTATTTAAATAGAAATATCTATACATCCATCCATCCATTTTCTTACACGCTTGTCCAGAGTGGGGTCATGAGGGGTGCTGGTGCCTATCTCCAGCAGTCAATGGGCGAGAGGCGGGGTACACCCTGGACAGGTCGCCAGTCCATCGCAGTATAATAAGCTCTGTCTGAAACTCTAGGATCGCCTTCAGGCCTCTAATTTAAATTGTGTCTGATCTACATCCAGTTTATTTATATGCTAAGTGAATACACACAGGCAAATATTAGCTGACAGCAGTAATTATTCTAAATTTTATTTATCTGAGGTTTTATTAGATACTTGCTGTAAAAGATTAAAGATTATTAGATTTCTCCTTCTGAGAGTGAGGGTCAATTAAGACTCTTTGGAAGTAAAAGCTGTTTTATGATGAGACACTTAAGGATGTACGATGCTCATCGGCCGGGTAAGTCATCCTTTAATTGATGCCTATTTTCAGAAAGAAACAACAGCAACATTTCCATAGAAACCTGTGTCAAGGCTGAAATAGTGTCAATTAGGTCTGATGGAGAAATTAGTGTTAATCCAATTTCCTTTTTCTTTTCTTTCGTAAGCACAAATCAGATCAGTATTAAGGAGATGCACAGCCTGATCTGTTTAGACTACTGAGCTCTTCTCTGCTCTCCAGTGAACTGTTATTTACAGGGCTGTGAAAAGTTATTTCTGCCCCTACAGATGTCTTAAATGTCACCAAATCTTTCAGATCATCATATTAATGCAATATCAGACAAGAATAGACCAAATAAGATGGTTTCCTGTATTAGGAGGAAAATAAATTAAATTAATAGGAACCTTGTTTAGACAGATTTTGCTCTGATAGCCTACAAGCCATGAAGTAATATTCATATGAATGTTGAATTGGAAAGAAACATTGACAAGGATAATATCCACAAAATTTAAATGCATATACATACCATTTCTAAAATAAGGAATTATCTAATTCTGTTCAGTTACCCTCAATGTTTACAATATTTGCTTGTGAAACTTGAAGACAGTGTATTTAACCTGGTGGCTATAGCACAGGATTACAACAGGGATCCATATTCCTTCACTTCCTTTTTATTCTCTACACCTAAGAGTTTGAGTTGGAATGCTGGGTAGAAATAGTGGACTGCTGTGTGTCATTGTGTGGAAACAATATATTATCTATAACTGAATGCTATAGATAATTCAGTTAGGTGTGTTTTTTCAGTGTGTAGTCCTGTTTTCCTCCTAGAGATACTCTACATTCAAATGTGACTAACTTTATGTGTTCTCTTACCCTATGACATAAAAAAAGTCTCAGAGCTAATGTGGTTAAAGGTATTGTGGAGGATTTCTGTGGATTTTTTGAAAAGACCCACCTTCTCCACTTAAAAAAAAATGCACCTGCACAACCCTGCACCCGCTCATGTGAGGGAAAGACTATTAAATGTGTGCGAGAGCATGCACGAGCCAATTTCTCCTCGTGCACGCTCCTTTTAAAAGTTGTTGTTTGCATCACTCATACAAGCTTCTTTTCGAAAATAATAATTTTTACACAATGTCAAACTCACCACCAGAATGAGTGATAATTATGAGTATGATCCATCCAAAAAAAGAAGATCCTCCCCTATACCTTTAACTGTCTCTTTCTTGGACAGAGCCTCCTTATGACCTAGTTTACTATTAGCTTCTCTAACATAGAAGGTATTTATGGATCAAAGCTTCCATGTTCCTTTTGTGTTTATGTCTCTATCTTCTCAAG